ATATATATATATATATATATATATATATATATATATATATATATATATATATATATATATACATATATAATGTAACGAAGAGCGGCGCGGCAGCTGTGGGCCATGGGCTGAAAAGCGAGGAAGAAGAGGCAGAATAGAACAGCTTGCCCGACGAACGGGTGTTGTGTCTGTCTCGCTTATTACAATGGCGCAGCCGTTCAACGAACCTGTGTGCGACGATCTGCGTGAAGAAACCGTCCTACGGAGCGGACGCACTCTCCAGTAGCCCGCAGCTCCTGCTACCGTGGCCATGGCATCCGACCTGGCCACCGCGGGTACCGAAGCCAGCGCGCTGCCTGCAGGCGTCCTTGCCAAACCACAAGGTGACTCCACTGACTTGGCTTCGCAAACCGCCTCCTTGCCCAGGGACGCCGTACACGCTCCCTTGGACTTCGCCTCAGGTACCATACCTGGAGCAACGTCAGTACCGTCACTAGAAGACAGGCGTAATTCCTCGTCTGTAGCCGCCAGCGAACTCTGCACGGTTATGCAGGCCATCGCTACTTCGAGCCAGCGTCTTGCAGACGCCACCGTCACCTTCTCAGCAGCCTGTGCACGCACCACGTTGCCTCCTCCGTCTATGGCAGAAATTCCTGACTTTACCGGCATTGATCAAGACCCAACCGTCTTGCTGGATGAAATTCATTCTTTGGCCCGTTGACATGCATGGACTGACGACGTGACGCTATCGCTAGCCGTAAGCTGACTGCGCGAGTTCGCCAAAGTGTGGCATCAATACGATGGCTGCAACTACAAATCCTGGAGTGACTGGACTACAGCCTTCGTCACGGCCTTCCCACCACTTCCATCCGCATACGACGACTATTTCATGCGCATGCGATCGCGTCGGCAGGCTCCATGGGAAGACGCCTATAAATACGTCTACGATAAGCTCGAGCTTCTCGACAAATGTGGCATTACATGGATCTCTCAGGCTGCCCGCCAGTATGTCGTTGATGGCTTGGCTGACCCTACCCATGCTGCCATCTTATCTTGCCAGTCACCTGAAGCGTCACCCCAGGTTTTCGTTCAAAGTGCATCTGAACTTCAGCAAAACTATCGTCGTCGGCTTAGCTTGGACACATTGGCGACTGTCCGTTCGACTTACGCCTCCACACGACACGGATGCTTCAAGTGCGGCCCCATTGGCCACAACGCCAAGGAGTGTCGTCAACCCTTCCAGACCCGAATCCACTACCAAGCTTGTCAAACTCCTCGGATGTCCATTCATGTTGAGGGAATAGGTAACCTATCTGCTCTGGTTGATACCGGTGCGGAACGAACGGCGCTACACCGACGTCATGCTCTGGACGCTATCCGACCGTGGACGCAACCTCCCCTCTGTGGACTTAGAGGAAGTGCTATGCCAGTCGGAATGCTCGACATTTCAGTCCGTACGGCAGCGGGCACTAAAGTTCTTCCAGCCATTGCCGTCTTTGAAGATCTCCCTGCCGACATGATCCTTGGTGCTGACTTCTTGCTATCTGATGACATTGAGCTCACCATACATCGCGGCCACGTCGAGCTCCGGTCTTCGACAGCTGGGACTACCGCCACAACCCTGCCGCCACCGACAGGTGAGCCGTCCACTCCGCCTACCTTATCTTCTATATTGGCTCGCCATCAGCCAGTATTCGCTAGCAATACAGCAGAACTGCCAGGCACTAATTTGCTGCTCCATCGCATACCAACGGGTGATAATCCGCCAATACGCGTACCACTGCGATGATATGCTGAACGAGAACGGGAAGTGATCGCAGAACAAGTAGATGAAATGCTTGCCGCGGGCATTATTAGGCCGTCATCGAGTCCGTGGGCAGCGCCAGTCATCCTTGTTCGCAAGAAAAACGGATCACTATGCTTCTGCGTGGACTACAGGCAGCTCAATAAGTGTACAATGCCTGACTCCTACCCTTTACCCCGCATCGATGACGCTGTTGATACAGTACGTCACTGCAAGTTCTTTTCATCGCTTGATTTACGCGCAGGGTACTGGCAGATTAACGTCGCGGAGGAAGATCGATGTAAAACGGCCTTTCGCACACCTTTCGGGATGTATGAATTGAACCGCATGCCGTTTGGACTAAGAACGGCTCCTAGCACTTTTCAGCGTGCGATGAATTCAGTGCTCGGACCATTGAAAAACCAAGCTTGTGTGGTGTACTTAGACGACATCCTGCTCGTTGGCAGGACGGAGGATGAACACCTTCGCTATTTAGACGAAGTACTACACAGACTCTATGCAGCAGGGTTTCGTTTAAACAAAGAGAAATGCCAGTTTGGGGTTTCCAAGATTTCGTACCTGGGACATAATATATCTCCTGTCGGCATCCAGCCACTCCCGGAGCGAATAGCTGCTGTGTCGCAGTATCCCACACCAACCTGCTTGAAGCAAGTTCAGTCATTTCTGGGTATGGCGTCGTATTTGCGAAGGTTTATTCCCCACTTCGCTTCAATCGCAGCTCCCTTGAGAGGTCTTCTTTAAAAAGATGCGCGGTTTGAATGGGGCGTCTCACAAGAAAATACTTTTCGAGCTATAAAGCAAAAGCTCACTTGTTGCCCCATACTAAGTCACTTCAATGAAGACTGGTCCACTGAAGTGCACACTGATGCCAGCCAAATCGGCCTAGGAGCTGTGTTAGTGCAGCGTGATCCAGATGGCGTGGAACACGTGGTTGCTTACGTCAGCCGAAAACTTTCACACACCGAGTGCCACTATCACTCCAACGAGCTTGAATGTCTTGCAGTGGTATGGAGTTTCGATGGTAAGTTTCGACATTATCTTTTCGGGCGTCAATTCACTGTTGTGACTGATAATGCTGCTATAAATGGATGTTCTCCAAGCAGCGACTTAAGCACAAATTTGCCCGGTGGATAATCACGCTGCAAGAATTCGATTTTGACGTGCGCCACAGCGCCGGGGGGCTAAACAACGTCACCGATGCACTCTCACGGAACCCCCTTGACTGCGCACACAAACCAGGCAAACCCACATTTTTTTCGCCCAGATGGATATATCCCGAGTCCGACAGGAGAATAAAGATTTGGCATCCTTCATTGCATCTATCACTGACAAGGGAAATCACAGTACTTTTGTGATGCGCAATGCCGCATTGTACCGGGGTCACTGGCGAGCGGACCGATCGGAAGAACGTTACCTCCTGTTGATCCCGAAATCCCACAGGTCATAAATATTACGAGCCATTCACGACTCCTCAGAAGGCAGACACACCGGCCAACGAGCCACACTCCGGAAACTACAAGAACGTTTTTGGTGGCCGAAGATGCAAAGTAGCGTCCGCTCTTTTGTCGCCAGTTGCAAAACTTGCCAGCAGTTTAAGCGACTGTCTGGGTGTCAACCTGGATTACTCACACCAATTCAGATACCCGAAACAAATTTCCACACGATTGGCATTGATTACATGGGACCTCTACCCACCACCACTTCGGGAAATCGTTACGTCATTGTAGCAGTAGACTACCTGTCAAAATACGTGGAAGTGGAGGCCGTGCCATCTCTTGCATCTACTTACCTAATTGACTTCCTCAAGCACCAATTTGAATGGTGACATGGCTTACCAAAAAATGTAATATCTGAGCGGGCTACAACGTTTCGTAGCGGGGAACTGAAAAAGTACCTTTTCACGGCAGGCGTGCAGCACCACTTCGCATCCACGTTTCATCCTCAAGCGAACGGCCTTACTGAGAGAACCAACCAGAGCATCCAGGCACGACTCGTTCCATATACGAAGGCAGGGAAAAGAGGAGAGGCCGACTGGGACGTCTACCTTCCGTCAGCCACTTTTGCGATTAACACGGCACTGCATACGTCTAGTGGGGAAACGCCCTACGAAATTGTTTATGGGAAACTACCACAGCTGAAAGCGGTCTTCAGTATGGATGCTCCCACTATAATTCCACGTGCCAACGATCGCAAAGCGGCCTGTCAGAAGATCCGAACTGAGGCGATCAAGAAAGCCACCCATGCACAAGAAAATCAAAAGCGCCACTATGACAGACGCCGTAGACCCGCTCCTGCTTATAACATCGGTGACGAGGTCTGGATGCAAAGGGGCACCAGCGGGCCTGGCAAGAAGCTACTCCCTAAGTTCGACGGGTCATTCATAATTACTCAGCGTGTAGGAGAAAATACCTGTCGTGTGAACACGTCAGATACGAGCTTCACTCTTGATAAACGCAAAAGAAACAACTTTGCCGTGCATGTGTCGCGCTTGAAAAAAGCAGTCGGACCGCTGCAGGTGCAATGAACTGTAATTTCTTTTTTTTCGCTGTCAGGTCCGCAGTGTGGCCGAATGTAACGAAGAGCAGCGCGGCAGCTGTGAGCCATGGGCTGAAAAGCGAGGAAGAAGAGGCAGAATAGAAGAGCTTGCCTGTCTCGCTTATTACATAACATATATATATATATATATATATATATATATATATATATATATATATATATATATTTATATTTATATATATATATATATATATATATATATATATAAGGCAATGAAATATTGAAGTTTCCCAGCAGAGAGCTGTCACTTACATCACTGCAAGTTGTGTCTCTTGTCTTCCGAATTACCTTTGGCCCATTAGAAAAGCTTCTTAGAGTATATATATATATATATATATATATATATATATATATATATATATATATATATATATATATATATATATATATATATATGTGTGTGTGTGTGTGTGTGTGTAAGCAAAGCCATACAGCTACCGCAACCATCTTTTCGTTTATTTGAATTTTTCATACCTTTGAGCTGTTCTATGTGTCTTTTTTTACATCGTGGAACGCAGCGCATACAATTGAAGCTCAGATGATTCTTGTGTTCTAATATTAACGCAACCCTGTACCCAATGAATCTGTTAACTTTCTTTTCTAATTCATTGTAAAAAAGAAGTATACTGAATTATGTGCATTTCATCGTTTTATTTTGCAGGCGACACCTACCTTGGTCAAGTTCAGACATATTTCTTGCATCCTTTCCTATTACTCACCAATCAGGTATGATGTATACCATGTTGGGTGCTCTGGGCGGTACGATAAGCGTCATAACGCCAGCCACGATGACGCCCCAGGAATTTATGGACAGCATTCATAAATACAAGGTTTGTTCTGAGGTCTTCTCATTCTAAAATTATTTCAAAGCATTTTCGTTGATCTCAAAGTCACGCCATTTATAACCACAGATGTAAACGAGCCTCTTTAGGGTAATGTGATCTATTTGAAATACCACAACTTCACACATCTCTTGAAAGTGACATTGTGTGGGTGAAAGAATGTTTAGCTGAGGGAAACAGTGGTCATGGCCTCCGAGATGGCGGACATGCGGCAATATGCATTGCGTGCAGTGGCTCGTTTTGGGAAGGAAAAGAGAAGGAGTGTAATTGTAAAGAGCTTTGTGAAAGCTTGTTAAAACAATCATTGTTTGAGTACAGTATTGTTACTGTAATAGGTCCGGGACCTCTTAGAAGTGCATGCCGGCCGTGCATGAAGCGGCAAATCAAACATATACTGTGTCTAGCCCCTGCCACTCAGCACTGCCCTAGCTACGTAATGTAAGAAGCCCCATGCTTGCGCACGAAAATATAGTTCCAGATATTGTCACCGTGAAAGTGGCAAGGTCGAGAGAATTTCTCTTGTTTAGAGTCTGATCCTGACCATAAGTAAGTTTATTCTTCATCGATTCATATTCGTTGATCAGAAGTGTGTTTATTTTTCATCAATTCTACAGCCTACTTATTTCGGTAACCATCGGTGACTATCAGTAACCATCGACGTTACCAGTAACCATCGGTAACTGTGGTTAAAGATCAGCATGGCAACGCCCACGCAGTTGCAACCCCCAGTTTTTACCCGATCTGGCCTTTGAGACTCACCCAAAGTGCTCTCAGCTACAAATGAAAAGTGTGATTAGCTATCTGGTTGTCCTGTCTCACCACCGAGACAAAGCATAAGGTATGCTCTGTCGTTACTGGTGCGACAAGCCATTTCTTTGAATTTATCTTCAAAGCCTAAAGCGCCCTTAATTCGATAACGGTTAATAGAAACATTTCACAGTATATTCATGGATAATTTGCTGTCAAAGCTCCAAGACAAAAATGCAGAGCAAATACAGGCGCAACTTTCTAAAACACTGGCCCCAGAGAGCATGGAGATGGCTGGCAACACTCAAGGTAGAGTGCAACTGCGTGAAAGGGTGCAGCCATGTTTTACTTTTTAAAGACGATAGTTTTTCTTGGGGACCTTCGACGCAAAAATTTTGGTCTGTCTGTCTGTCTGTACATCTGTCTGTTTGTTCACTCTTAACGGCACCGGGTACTTGAAATGGCTGACCCCACCCACAGAGCCGCCAAATGTTGCTCAAGATTTAGCATTCACACTTGTGAAGTCACCAATTAAAAAGCAATTATTGCGCATGTCTGGGGCACCATAACGACACGTATATATTCTGCATGTGCGTATTTTACTAGAAAAAGCATTTATAGGTAATTTTAAGGACTGCAGTGGTTATCACGCTGCGCTGACCATGCAATGCTTGCACGAAAAGGCGAGTGTTTCCAATGCTTTGCTAAAACGAGACGGTGGTGGCCCCTACCCGTCGCCCTGCGTTCTACACCTTATCACCTCTGAGACGGGCGCGCACACCCATCTCAGAGTCAAACACTTCGTTTTCCAATAAAACTGCCAGATGGCGCTCATGTCTCACGTATGACGTGACTTGATGCACTCGTTCACCTCCGCTGCACGCTCGAGCCACTCTAACGCGGTGCCTCCAGAATACCATTCACCCATTTTCTTGCGCAGAACATCAAATAAAACTTTTGTTCACTCTCTCCACACGCAAGACGACATTTGAAGATTAAATTGCAGATACGGGGCCATTTTTTTTCGATCGCTGCCTTCTACTACCTCAATTTGTGGGCGCAGACGCCAGGGCGATTCTTAGCAGACGACCAGGTGCGTATCAATAAGTTTGGAGGTTCTAATCACCATTCCTATTGGTTAAGGGGCCCTGTAGCCACACAGTCCTGAATGGAACTTCTGAGACAGAGTACAGACTGTTCTAGGCATACACTTAGAGTGCCTATCTGTCGGCAGACGGCGCAAAAATTGGTGCGAAAGTGACAGGCGTGAAAGAGCCCTTTCGGTCGATCTAGCCGCTGCCAAATCAGATTCGGCGCGCTTTCAGCGGCCGGAATGCTCAGTGTGAACGAGGCATAAAGCTGCGGACGGCACCACCGGCAACGCTGAAGCGCGACATCGTGTGACAACAAAAATGCTCTGCATTTGAAAGCTTTAAGCCAATATGAAGCACTGGTACTCGCGAGGATGTTAGCCGTGTGCACTTGTAGATACCGCTGCCAAATCGGATTCAGCGCGCTTTCAGCGGCCGGAATGCTCAGTGTGAACAAGGCATAAAGCTGCGGACGGCACCACCGACGACTCTGAAGCTTGACATCGTGCGACTAGAAAAATGCTCCGCATTTAAAAGCGTTAGGCCAATATGAAGCACTGGTATTCTCGAGGATTAAACCCTGTACACTTGTGCATACATTTACATCAGGGCATGGCGCCTAACTACTATTGACATTCACCCGACGTAACGGCTGTATCAAAGAAGTACACGTAATGTTCATAAAATCAGACAGCCAACACTGACCACAAATAACGTTTCACGAAATAAGGAAATACTTTAAATTAGTTCCAAATCCTAGCATGGCTCTATAGTAGAATATTTGAGTACCACGCAAAATTCTAGCGTTCTATTACTACTGAGGCTTTGGCATTTATTATTAGCGTTCATCCGGTCAACAAAGTCGATGTCATCTTTTTCTTAGCGCTCACGCAATAAAATCGTCTGTTCTCAAAGTGTTAATCACCCGTGGCATATGCGCACCAGCGGGTATGGGCCACATATCTGGCGTAAATGCTTTCACGACGCAAGCCAAGGTATCATGACATTATTCGTCTCATGAAGTGAATCATATTCGTGAAATCATTGTGCCCAACCTTACTAATTCTGGTTTACGCAAGTTAAGGGTGTGATCGCGGGAGCCCCCAGAGGCAGGTGGGCAGACGGCTGATAGATAGATAGATAGATAGATAGATAGATAGATAGATAGATAGATAGATAGATAAATAAATAGATAGGTAGATAGATAGATAGATAGATAGATAGATAGATAGATAGATAGATAGATAGATAGATAGATAGATAGATAGATAGATAGATAGATAGATAGATAGATAGATAGATAGATAAAAGCCTAAAGTGCCTCCAGTATGAAAAATTGCCCGCAGCTTCCCTCGGGGGAACACTGAGGAGGATGCGGAGCATATAATTGGTTAACGGGGTGTTAAAGTGCGACTTACTTGGGTCGATGGCTAAATTGGTGAACGTGGTTGTGAAATGGGGTGTTAAATTGCGACTTACTTGGGTCGATGGCAAAATTGGTTAACGTGGTTGTAGGACGGTGTGTTAAATGAGTGAACACGTACACACGTATGCGAAAGGGCGGCGCTAGTCGAAGGGACGTCGATCATTGTGGATTCGTTGGAATTCATTTCACCGCGACCTTGGACGTCGACGCGCCGTACAAACCAACCGACGAGCGGCAACTGAGCGAGCGAGCGCCGACCTTGAGTATATATATAGCGCGACGGCGCATGCACTGTCAGCTGTCGAATGTTCGAGAAGGGGGAGAAGCGCAACGGCGCATGCGCGCGCGTCAGCTGCCGATGTTCTCGAAGCGCGACGGCGCATGCGCGCGCGTCAGCTGCCGATGTTCTCGAAGCGTGACGGCGCATGCGCGCTACATTATACAGCTAGCGAATGTTCGTGAAGAGGAGAAGCGCACGCGGTGTGTAGAGGAGGAAGGGTGCACAGATGGTGGAGGAGTGAAGCGCGCGCGGTGTGTAGAGGAGGAAGGGATGCACAGATGGTGGAAGAAGGAGGAGGAAGCTTGCGGACGGCGCCGCACTAGAAGCCTCGAGTATTAGATGCTCCGCATCTAAAAAATATGCTCTGATTTAAATCAGCCAGAAAAATTTCCGCAAATTTAGGAGACTGGGCAGTCGATCCCAGGGCTTGTCGGGCTCATATCGCGTCATACGAGCAAAGAGCAGAAGTAGATCATTATGACAACAACGAGCACTGACACAAAGCGCTTCGGTATTCTCAACACTACGGCACCTTGATGCCGGCAATCGAACGGACGCTGGCATCAGGGTGCCCTACCATCACCACCTAAGTGGCAACCACCCTACTCAGCACAGTGAAACGTGGTCTCCGCAATTAGCTCGGACGTTTCTGAAACCATTCTCAGACGTCATAGCACAGGCTGTGATTCCAAAGTGCTATACGCGCTGCTTTGACTCGGTGACGACACAGTTAAGTCCTTTGTAAATCGTGCTGCGCTAGTTTTTGCAGCTTCCATACGCACCATTGGTGTTTGTCCACCGCTACTGATTGGAGTGTGAGCAAAACGAGTACGAGAACTGCTGCAGTAAGCACCACCGAAAAACGTGTCGACTCGAGAACTCCGCGCAAGTCAGTTTAGTGCAGACAGAGAAATACTAGGAAGGAGTGCGGGACTCTCGCACAAGCACTGCTTAGGCTTAAAACTTTGCCTTCTTCACTTTCCAAGCTCAGCGCGTATTGTAGGTTCTTTGGCGGCCTTGTACCACTTGCATTTGAATGTTGACATTTGGCTAAAGCATCATCTAGACTGGCTAGACTGACTCTGAATAGGATTTTGAGGTGTGCGAAATTTCGAAGTAGTGGTCTTGATAATAAGGTAAAAACTGGCAGTGATGTGTTTCCGCGTCTCCTTTCTGTACATTTGCGATTATCTTGCCCCATTTGCAGGTGACATCGACATTCCTATTTCCCACACAGCTTCAAGCTGTGGTGCGTGAGATGCGTCGCTCAGGAAGAAGGTTACCAACTGTCCGCCGAATCGGTACGGGTGGCAGCGTGGTTCCGGCATCCGTAGCAGAAGCAGCCTACGAAACATTCGGTGCTCTCGAGCAACTCCTAAATCTATATGGTATGACGGAGTCTTGCGGTGTTGTGACGGTGCTGCCGAAATCTGCCGAATGTCGAAACAGCACTGACGTTGGAATTCCTGCGACCGGAGTCACTCTGAAGGTAGATCACAACTTAGTCATGTTGCTGTTCAAAGTCACACTTTCGTCCGGTTAATTGATGTTTTCTGCGTCATATTTATTGGTGATCCAAAACTGTGCATCTTCAAGGAGTCGCCAAAAACTTTTCGAAAATTTTCCGCTGTGTATTCAGAATCCTCACCATATATTCAATACTATACCTCGAATTGTTTCGTCACCCACGCCGATTTAAAAGCTATAAAAACACGATTTCAATCCTCAGCCCACGTTCTTTTCTGCTGTACATCTGACGTCAATCAACGATGAAAAGTTCATGTCGTCGAGAAAACATAGCGATGCCACAATATCTGCTCAGCTACCATTGATTGATGTTCGTAGTATCATACAAATTTAACTGCAAATCAAAAAAAAATGTTGTTTCCGCTCTGACAAGTTGTGCAGCACAGTGTGATGCTGCACACGGTGAGCAAGCGAAGGTAGAGCCAAACGAAACACAGCGTGAAACAGAACCTAACACTACCAGTGAGAAAAAAACAGGGACGCTCCACTCAGCCAGCGAATGTGTTCGAAAAGGCCAGAATGCACTTGGGAGGCAGCCCCAAATGTACTTCAATGCAGAACCAAGCAGATCGTTTACGGCACTTCTACAGCATAGAACACAGAACGTAAAATTTAGCAGTAGTGTTTTCTTTCAGGATCTTTAAACAAATCGTTTTAAAGCAAAAGAACGGTAACGCTTTGTTTATGACTTTTGACAGCATGACGTCACTCTGACGTCAAACTTAATGTGTCTCTGGCAGCTGGTGGTGCCGCATGGTTGCTTAGGATCCCAAGAAAAGAGCGATTTCAAACCGATTGGTAAACATAGGCAATATTGCACCAAAATATTCGTGAATCAATCTGTTAAACTTGTAGAGAAGCAAGAAAACTTACAACGGAGCCACCTCATACTTTTTTCATGAACCCTTTATGATATATTTAAAAAAATGATGCATTTCATACCACGGGATATATCTACACGAGAAGCAATTTCACAGTCTGGGAAAAATTCAACACTGTCGTCAATATCGGCCCATAGTGCGAGTACGTTCGTGCACGTTACAGAATCGTGAGGCAAGAAGCGTCACGTATTACACCTATCATTTCTTTCACCACAAAATACCGCATTTATTGCAGCAGTACTGCAAATCGTGTAATGTTCACTATGAAAGTGGCACTGTTAACAAACTTCGAAGTAGCAAATAGTTGTCACAACATTCACAACCTGCGTAGCAAGCACAAGTGGTAATTACAAGGGTCGGAGGCTCATTACCTTAAACGTTGACAATAACAATTACTAGTTGCAGGGAAGTAACAATAAGAATTCAAATAATGACTGTCAAGATTTTAAACACCTAGCTCTATTGGTTGCTAATGAACGTGAACATTCGTTTACGTCCGTTTGCTTTTTATTGATATGTTTAGTATACATTGCCTTATAAAGTAGACTCTTTTAGAAAAGATTAGCATCATATATGAATGTAAAACGTTAGAGCATTGTCCTCTTACGCCTGGAAATTCTTTAGATATTTCATGTGATTAACTTGGTAAATGAAATACAGAATGACGTGTTCAGATAACATGCATCTGGTCCAATTATCATGATATGCGTTGGCATATTTTACATGTCTATTGAGGTTTGGGTGTTGCACCACGCGGATTTTTACGTGAGAACTTCCTATTCAACAGGGCTGATGCACGTGCATGAACATGTTTTAAACTAGTAACTACGCCTTTTATGTGTTCTAGCTGTGTAGCTTGACCACCAAATTAAACATTCTGTTCAAGGTATTTCATAAGGAAAGGAAGTTGATCCTTACTTGCAATATGGTAACGCTATGTGCGTCTGTTTTTGCAGCATTATCTTGTTGCTAACATTTTATTAACTGCTAGACACTCATTTTCTCGTTGTTTATGCCCTATATTGAGTTGTTTTTTTCCTCAAAAATCCTTCATCCCCAGTGCAGCGCAGCCAACCAGACGCTTGTCTGGTTGACCTGCCTGCCTTTGCTCTTTTTGTTTCTCGCACACCTCCGCCTCCATCATCATCATCATCATCATCATCATCATCATCATCATCAGCCTGACTACGTTCACTACAAGACAAACCCCTTTTCCGTGTTCAGCCAGTCAACTCGGTCCTTTGCTTGCTGCTGCCATTTTATGCCCGCAAACTTCTTAATCTCATTTGCCCACATAACTTTGTCTTCCCCTCACCCGCTTGCCTTTTCTCAGAACTCAGTCAGTTACCCTTAATGACCAGTGGTTATTCTGCCAACGCGCTACATGCCCAGCCCATGTCTCTTTCCTGTCCTTGATTTCAACTATGATATCCTTATCCCCGTTTGTTTCTTGATCCACTCTTGTTTTTTTAAGGTTACACTTACCATTTTCCTTTCCATCGCCCGCTGCGTCGTCCTTCACTTAAGCTGAACACTCTTCGCAAGTCTTCATGTTTCTGCTCCATAGCTAAGTACCGGCAAGAAGCAGCTGTTATATACCTTCCTCTTGAGGGATAGTGGCAATCTACCAGTCATGATTAGAGAGTGCTTGCCAAATCTGCTCCTCCTTATTCCTAATCTTCTAGTTGCTTCAATCTCGTGGTTCGGCTACGCGGTTATTACCGGTCCTAAGTAGACATAATCTTTCATAACTTCAAGTAAACTATTACTTATCTCGAAGCGCTTTTCTCTTCTGAGGTTGTTGTACATTACTTTCGTTTTCTGCAGAATAATTGTCAGACCTACCTTTCTGCTCTCCTTGTCTAACTCCGTAATTATGAGTTGCAGTTTGTCCCCTGAGTTACTCAGAAATGCAATGTCATCGGCGAAGCGCAGGTTACTAATGTATTATCCACGAACTCCTATGCCTAACTCTTCCCATTCAAGGCCTATGAGAACCTTCTGTAAGCACGCGGTAAATTGCATTGGCGAAAGTTATCCCTGCTGTGCATCGTTTTATTGTTATTTTGTTGCTTTCCTAATGTAGGACTATGGTGGTGGTTGACCCCCTGCAGGTTTCTTCCAGGATATTTATATATGATTAATCGATGCCCCCATTCCGCAGTGTCCACATGACTGCTGATATTTCTATTAAATCCGCTGCGTTCTCGTAATATATGAAGGCTATGAATAGTGGTTGGTTGTATTTTAAGCATTTTTCTATTACTTGATTGATAGTATGAATGTGGTCGATTGTTGAGTAGCCTATACGAAATCCTTCTTGTTTGTTTGGTTGATTGAATTCTACTGTTGTCTTAATTTTGTTAGCCATTACCTTTGTTAAGAGCTTGTATACGAGAGAGGGCAAGCTGATCAGCTTATTTTCTTTAAATCCTTATCATCTAATTTTTATGTATTAAGATGTTGTTAGCATTGTTCAAAGATTCTGCTACTCTTGCTGTTAGGAAACACACCGTAAACAGGTTGGCTAGTTTTTCTAGCACAATATGTCCTACATATTGCAGCAGACCTTATGTTACCTGATCCTCACCAGCAGCTTTGCCTCTTTACATTTCCTTCAAGGGTTTTCTGACTTCTTCTATCATTACTGGTAGTTTTATCTGTGATACTGATTGTTCGTATATTAAGGTCTTGGTTGTCCTGGCTACTGTACAGCTCTCTGTAAAAATCATCCGCTATTTTCGCTATCCTATTCATATGGGTAGTTACTTTGCCTTCCTTGTCACTTAGTGCATATATCTGGTTTTTGCCTATCTCTAGTTTCCTCTTAACTGCTTTGACGCATCCTCCGTTCTTCAGAGCATGTTCAATTTTCTCCATCTAATACCTTCTTACATCTAATATCTTACGCTTATTAATTAACTTCGTAAGCTCTGCCTGTACTATTTTGTCTGTTGTACATGAGGCTTTCATGCCTTGACGCTTCGTAAAGATTTTATTTGTCTCCTAGGACAACTTGCCTGTGTCCTGTCTAATTACCGTACCTCCCACTTCCACTGCACACTCCGCAATGATACTTGTGAGCGTCAACCATATGTAACGTCAACGCTAAGGCTCGTTTCTTTAATAAGAGCCGAGTACCTGATATGAAGCGACACTCTGAGTTTTTGTACTTTCCCTCTCAGTGCTAGCTTATTGGTTGGCTTCTTGCGTATCAGTTTCTGACGTCTCTTCAAGTCTAGCCGAGTGCGAGACCGTACCATTTTATGGTGACTGCATCGTACCTTGCCAAGCTCTTCCACACCCTGCACGATGCCTGATTTGCACTCAGTATAATGTATATATCGTTCTTCCTTTCGCCATTAGGATTCCTCCATGTCTACTAATGGTTTGCTTGTTTTCGTTAGTTGGTATTGAAGATCCGTTAATTATTGCGTTCTACTATTTCTACTAATAGCTCTCCTCTGGCATTTCTAGTACCGATGACATATTCTCCTATCACCTTGTCTTCAGCCTGCTTCTTCCTAAACATAGCATTGAAGTCGCACATCAGTATAGAACACTGTGTTTTTACCTTTTACATGGCAGATTAGACGTCTTCATAGAAGCTTTCACCTGAAGTGCCATCACAGCTGGATATAGGCCTGTAAGCCTGTACCACTTTCATCTTGCATCTCGTATTAAGTTTATTTACGATACTTACCACACTTTCATTATTGCTATAGTATTCATCTACGTTGCCAGCTATATTTCTGTGCATAAGGAACCCCACACCCAGTTCTCTTCTGTCAGCCAACCCGCGATAGCAAAGGACGTGCCTATTCTCTAGCACTGTACAGGCCTCATCTGTTGTTGTAATATCACTGAGTCCTAGTGCATCCCACTTAACACTTTCCAGCTCCTCGAATAGTACAGCTAGATGTGCCTTATAAGATAAGGTTCTAGCGTTAAACGTTGCCAAGTTCAGGTTTCAGTGGCGGCCTGTCCAGACCATGGGACTCGTAGCACCATATGGTGCGTTGAAGATTTGACCGTCGCTGTGGTCAATTGCTGCACAGCCGCTGGGGGCTGCGGGCCGTCA